ATATATATATATATATATATCTTTATCAATTTCAGTGAGAGGAAGGGAGAGGTAGAGAGAGAGGAAGAAACATCAATGATGAGAGAGTCATTGATCGGCTGCTGCCCGCAACCCGGACATGTGCCCCAACCGGGAACCGAACCCCAATCGCCTGTATCCTAGGTCGACGCTCAATCGCTGAGCCACGCCCGGCCGGGCTCGGCCAGGATACTTTTAAATAATTAGAACATATCTACGCACACCCTGGTCTCCTGCCAAACCAAACTCATGTCTTCTGGTCCAAGAACACTGGAGATGGCTTTCTCCCATCTCATCAAGCTTATGCTGCAACTTCGCCCAGGGATAGGCATGACCTTACCTGTCGAAGCTGTCGCTGGTCCTGATGAAGAAGTCGAGCTTCTGCTCTGCATACTCAATCACGTCCGGATGGAGCTCCACACCATGGTTCACCCCAAAAGGCCCTACAAGGGTTCAGAACAAGAAAACTCTCCAAACTGGAGCAACAGCTCCTCCTCTTCCTTCTCTTGTACCGACTGCACCGGCCCTGACCTCGCGTGAGCAATTGCAGAAATCCACAAGGCTTCCTGGTCTCACCACACAACACTGGCCTACATCACTGAGCTAACCTTTACATGCAGCGTAGCCTCTGCTCACATCACTCATTTCTATGAGTTACTGACTCCACAGCTTTCCAAAGTCTGAGCCTCCCTGCTCGCCAACTTCTAAAGAATTATTTGAAGATGTAAAAGAGTCACAGTCTCACCCAGCCGGCGTGGCTCAGCAGTGGAACATCAACCTAGGATCCAGGAGGTCATCAGTTCAATTCCCAGTCAAGGCACATGCCCGGGTAGTGGGCTCCATCCCCAGTGTGGGGCATGCAGGAGGCAGCCGATCACTGATGTTTCTCTCTCTCTCTCCCTTCCTCTCTCTCTGAAATCAATAAAGACATTAAAAAAAAAAAGTCAAGGTCTAAAACAGGACCTCAAGGTCTTGCTAATAACTGAAGAAGGAACATGTATTTGCAAATAAAACTTGACACAGGACTCTTACCCCGACGGTCCCGCCAAACACTCAGATGTGGGCACTTTAATAATCCTCACAAAACAGGTTTTAATCACCATTGAAATAAAACTACAGTTCCAAGTCACAATGAAACATTTTTTATATCGAAGGAATTTGTCTGTGAGAGGTTACCTGATGTGTGTTCCCTGCATGTAAACCTTCCTCTAGGTAGCTGAGGTGAACTGTGTGTGGGAATCCTCTGACATGAAGGTCAGAAACAGGCAACACCATCTGTGTGATGGAGGGAGCGAGTGCTCCTCTCTGGAATGGGTGGATACTATGGATGGGGCAGGGTGTGTGGG